GGGAGCTCAGGGACCCCTCGAGAGAAGCCAGAATGCTGCAACGAGTCTTCAAGGCCTGAGTGGGAGGACAGGGAAGATGGGAGGTCCTCCCAGATCACACTTCCTCACACAAGGAATTTGTGAGTGAGTTACTTGCCTGAGATCAAGAAGGAGCTCTGGTGGCAAAGTGCTTATGTGTTGGGCTGATAACTGCACGGCCAGCAGTTCGTAATCACCAGCCGCTTCTTAGGAGAAAGATGAGGCTTTCGACTCCCATAGTTGCCGTCTCAGAAACTCACAAGGGTGGTTCTGTCCAGTCCTGTAAGGTTGCTATGAGTCAGAATGGACTCGATTGCATTGAGTTCAATTTTGGTTTGTTATGGTCAAGTAGGTCTTGAACCCAGGTTTTCTCAGGTAAAGTGATAGCCACTTTTCATACCACCTTGGAAGAAAGGCCTGGTGATCTGCACACCTAGGGTCATTCACAAACTGGAGCTGACTCAACAGCAACCTGTGTGGATATATACATGTGCCTGTGTATCCACATACAGGACCCCCGGTGGTGTAGTGGGTTATGTAGTGGGCTACAAACCACCAGGTCAACAGTTCGATATCACCAACCACTTCATGGGAGAAAGATGAGGCTTTCTACTCCCATGAAGAGTTACCATCTCAGAAACCCACAGGGTAGTTCTAGTCTGTCCGGTAGGTCTGCTATGAGTCAGAATTGACCCGACGGCAGTGAGGATTTGTTTATATATACACATGCAAGCACACACAGTTTCCCCGTCAAAAAGCAGAGAGATCTTTTGAAACTTTTTGTAAGCCAAAATGGTATAGAGAAGCCATAACCATTTGTTAATGGGGAATTTTTTGAGCATTCCCCAACTTTGAGGGCCCCTACTTAATTATGGAAGAAAAAGACAATAGAAAGATGCAGGGGACTGATCGCCAATCTCGCTGAGCCCTCTGGAGTTCACTCAACAGTAAGGTTTTACAGTAACGGGGCTTGCAAGCCTCTTGTTAGTATGTACAGTGCAATGGGCAGTGTGTTCATCTGAATATCCTGAGCCCTCGTGGGGACATCTCAAAGGCGAGGCCTGGCAGGAGAGTAAACAAAAGGTGCCCATCACTCAAGAATGGGAGGCTGAGGCAGTGAGTACTTTGAGAGATAAGCATCCTTCTCCACAGTGTCTGTAGGAGACCCCTTGTCATTTCATGGGGGATATATGTGAAGAACATAAGTTGCCTAGAGGATCCATACATTTGGCCCTTATCAATCATGTCCTCTGAACACTCCTGCCCGTTTTCCAAGCACTGCAGTCAGAGTAGGGAATGGCGTGGAGCAGAGGCCGTGTGCGCCTTCCTCCAGGCCCTCAGTCCCCACACATCTGGATCTATTGCAAGGGTTCGAGGCATAAACGACCCACCAAGGGATCCAACTATCCAATGGTCAGCCACACAAATTCCGAGACGTTTTCCCTTTGCAGTTCTTTATTCCCACTAGTGCACACCAGTCGCCATCAAGCACGCGCATGAGATTAAGCAAGCGTTCACTCGTCTCTCCTTTGGTATTGTAGTTTTGCCTGCACATCCCAAACTGGCTTGATGCCCAAAGGATGAAATAGGCCTCCCTCCACCAAGAGGAGCGAAGGGCACCCTTGTGAATGAGTCTTCAACGCCTGGAAGTCTGGTTCCGTTCAGCATGTTTGTGTGCGACAGCCCAAAGGTGACATAAGTAAGACACGGTGCAACACTCTAGGTATTTTGGGGGAAGGCCCACGACACAGAGGCCCTGGGAGGCACTTTTTCAACGTGCATCTCCTCACCCTTCAGTGACTTTCCATCTCGCTCCCTAGTCCGTGGGAAGCCATAAGCCAGGCGCCACTGAATACATGCCTTTCCCTCTGTGACATAGACTCGGCTCTCTCCCTTATGCCTACAAGAACATCCAATGTTCATTCAGGTCCCTTTTAAAGGCACTTAATAAATATTCATTCTGGGATCTGACGGAATAGGCTGTCCTAGTTCAACCCTCCTCTAAAGTTGCCTGGTCAGCAGAGGCCGTTGGGAACATCGTGTGAAGAGGTCAAACAGGGCCCCGGAGTTCTGGCCTCTGTCCTCCACTACTGTGTCTTGGGGGCAGAGGTTCGCGCCTGACCACACATTGGAAACATCTGGGGAGCCTTCTCAATTCCCCCGCCCAGGCATGGCCCGGCAGACTGCATCGGCTGCCCTGGGGACTGCAGGGGGCTGCTGAGCCGAGGACTGGGGCTCAGTTCCCTCACCAGGCCACCACAGGATTAGTGGAACCCCAAGTGGGTCCCTGATTTTAGGATGGGCTCCACTGTGCACCCTCCCCCCTCCCATTTTTATGAGAGCCCTGAGCAGGAAGGGGAAAGGATAGTGAGACAGGGCATCTTGTACAGTGAGTGGAGCTGGGCAGGGACTGCAGGCCTGGCTTTCTGGCTGGTGCTGCGTATTCATGCTCTAACAAGCCCAGGGCAAGAGAGTTGCCAACCGTCTGACACAGACACGCATCCGATTCTGAGAAGCCCTGCGAAGACCAGAGCTAACCGCCTTAGGCACTGTGGTTATGGCAGCACAGCGACGTCCTTGGAAACAAATTAAAGCTGCCACCTATCTTGACTTACATTCCCTCGTGAGCTGGTTTCACTCTTCGTAATTTGTGTTAAGATCACCTGGGACCCGCCTTGTCTCCCTTCGGCGAGTCTTAAAATAATGGCTCTCCGTCAAAAGCAACCAGCCAGAGAGGAGGGCCCACAGTGGGCTGCACCCTTAGGTCCCCCGATGAGTGGATCTCTCTTGAACAGGGACTGTTTGGGGGAGCTTCGGTTTCCAAGTCCTAAAAAGCAAAGAATAATAGGTTTGACCTCACGGAGTCTGGAGAGCTGGGCTACCTACGATAACGTATTGAGAAGGGTCCTGAGGTAGAATGGAGTTTCATGGGAAAGGACATCATGTTGATTAATAATGTCTGCTGTGGGCACGGGAACAGGGGTAGCAGCCTGCATGCTTCCAGCCTGGGCTAGCAGATGCTGGGACCACCCTGAGGCCCCTGCTGGTATCACCAGCTACCAATGGAAAGCACCATTAAGAGCACATTTCCGATTTCCAAGGACTCTCCACATCCTTAGTCATTCTCACTACAGCCCTAGGAGTTGGGTCTTCATGGATGGAAAAGCCGGGGCCATATCATGTGGCTAAGGCCCCACAGCCAAGGACATCATGTCCACTGAGGCTCCCAGGCCCTCACTGGCCTCCTGGGAACATCCAGAGTCCCCTTGGGTCTCCTTTGACCAGGAAACAGGAAATTAAGACATTACCTCACTTGCCAGCCCGCCACACCTTGAATCACTCACTTTGCGGGGCACTTCCTCTATGATTTGCATGCACTTGGCCCTGAGAACACAGCTCCGGTGTACAAATGCTGCCAAGAGCATCCTGCACTCCTCCTCACACACCCTGAAAATCCCCTGTCCCCTGGAGCCATCTCTGCATTTGCCTACCCACATTCCACAACCATGACTTCACACTCCCACCCAGGGGCCAGCCAAGAGGCTCCTGGGAGCTGGGCCACTGCACTGAGCTTCCCCTGGAGGGGGCCTGGGTTCCCAGCATTGGGGGGAGGGGGGCGAGGCTGGCATCTGCTTGGGCGGGCAGTGGTGTCTTCTGGAGGGAACTCAGTCCAGGCAGTGACCACAGACTGGCCTGGAGGGGCACAGGTAAGATGGCCTGGAAACTGCAAACACATCGTGGCTGGCCAGTGGAACGGGCTCTGCCCACTGCGGCGTGGTGATGCCAGGCTGCACTGACACCTGTGGTCCCAGGGGGAGCCACAGCACACTCTATGCCCACTCACCTCTCCTGGTGGCCTTCTGGGGGTGCCTGTCACCACCCCCGCCTCCCCCTCCCACCCCCCTGGCCACCTCCTCCCACCTTCCTTGCCTCCCTGTCCGTGTGCAGTGTGGGCACTAAGGTGGGCACCTAAGAGGGCAGTCTCCAGCCCCAGGGTGCTGGGCTTGGGGTCCTGGCCAGGAAGCTGGAGGGCACGTAGCCTCTCTGTCCATTCACATCCACAAGACTCCACTCTGCATTCCCCTTCTTGTCCTGGGCTTCCAGGACCGTCACCGGCTGGCCCGCCTGCAGAGTCACTTCGTGACTGCTCCTGGCCACAAAGGGGTACAGTGCCACCACCTGCAACACACAGGGAGAGGCACCCGGACAGTCAGGGCAGGCAGACAGACATCCACCACCGCGGCCACCTGCCCGAGACGCTCCCCAAGCCCACTCTTTGTGCTGAAAGAGTGAAAGCGCAGCGCTTCTGCTGCTAGCTCACTGCTGGCAACCCTACAGGACAGGGCGGAGCTGTCCCTGGGGTTCCAGAGGGACTGAAACCCTTCACAGGAGTAGAAGGCTTCATTGTTCTCTGTGGGGCGGTGGGTGGTCTCGAACGACAGTAACCACTACCCCAGGCTACCTGGGCGACTCGATGGAGGTGAGTGTTTGTGTGCCTCACCCCCAGCCAACCCCCCAAAAGAGACCTGTGACTCAGAGGAGTCAAAGAACTGATCCCAGATCACACAACAGAACTAGACTGCGAGCCCACGTGACCTCAGAAGGGGGTGCTGTTGACCCACGGTGCTGCACCTCACCTGAGCAGAGGACCCTTGGATCTAAGGGTCCCACCTCCCAGGCTGGGGCAGAGAGGGCTGCTCAGGAAGGGCGTTGAACTGGAGAAAGGATTGGAGCAGGGGTCTCCAGGGCCTCTGGCTCCACACTGCTCCCTGCCTGCTGCTCCCGGCCTCCCTGGGCCCCTGTCTCTCCCACCTCTGGGCCTCCCAGGAGCTAGGCCTGCTCTCTGGGGGGCTTCAGCCCCTTCCTGACACCTGCTATATCTGAAAAGCAGCATTCTCCTCAAAAAAACGGCGGGGGAACCTATTATGCCTGGGGCCATAGCAACTACTGCTGCTGTGGCTTGACATTGATCGGTGCGATCATTCCATGCACCGCTGCGTTCCTCCCGACCAGAATTCTACGTTTGACGAAGGCCTCGGGTCTCGCATTGAACACGGCGCCTGGGCCAGGACTGAGAGATCAAATGCACAAGACTGAAGGCACCAACCAAGGAAGGCCCCCAACCCCGAGGGAAGTGGGAGGGGGAAGAGGGTAGCCCAGCAAGTCACACCAGGTCACGGTTCCCCTGCTCCCACCCTGGTCAGGAAGCCCTGGTGGCACAGCGGTGAAATGCTCGGCTGCTCACCAATAGAGGTCACGTTCAAACCCGGCAGAGGCTCAGCTCCCAAGATTTGCAGCCCGGTAGCCCCGTAGGCAGTCCTACTCTGTCCTGCAGGGCCACTGCGAGTCAGAACCAGCCTGAAAGCACCGACCCACCACCTCCACCACCCCAGTCAGGACACCGGACCTCCACATAGGAGACCACCACCCAGTTGATTCTGACTCGGAGTGACCCGATCGAGGGAGAGGTCTCCAAGGTTAAATCTGTACTGGGGCAAACGGCCTCATCTTTCTTGCACCAACGGGTATGTTTGAACTGATGATCTGATGGCCAGCAGCCAAGGTGTGACCCGCGACACCACCAGGGTTCCCAGACAAAGTGGGGGTGGGGGCATTGAGAGTCATACTCACCCCTCCCGACTCACCTGGGTCATGGTAGGGACAGAGGGTCCTGGGGCCATGGTGGGCTCTGGTGTTAGGGGTCGGGAATGCTGCTGCCTCCTGGGCTCCTCACCGGGGACGACGTTGTACAGTTTCAGCTTCCCGGCCGGCAGGTAACCCCGCTGCCCTAAGGGGCACACAGGGTGTTACACCACTGTGGGCCCCCCTCCCCACCCTTCAGTGCCCGAGGCATCCAGGGATGCAGATACCACCTCCACAGCCTCTCTGTACTACAGAACCTAAAAAAGACCACCCCTTCCCTGCACGTACTGTTGCAAGTTTCAGCTTACACACTCCTGGTAACCGGGGACTCATTCCTTACGATGGCAGCCTGCTCTGTTCTGAACAGCTCTGACTGAGAGAGGAAGTGCTCCCTTGGACTGGTGGGACACTGCCGTCCTGGCTCCCAGGCTCCGCTCTGGCCACCACCCTCCCCTGGGATGGACAGCTTTCCCTCTGTCCGTGAGCAGACTTGGGCTGTGTCGCCTGCTGTCCTTGCCCATGGCGGCCCCTTCGGCTCCCCACCAAAGCGGGCACCTCCAGATCCAGGCTGCACATCCACTCTTGTCATTGCTTTAACTTTCACTGCGAACGCGGCGAAGGTTTATAGGGCAAAAATCCTGCAGTTTTGTTTCAGCTCCTTAACTGCAATCCCACCATGCAGTCTCACTTCTCCCATCGGCTCCCTGTTTCCTGCTTCCATTTCTCCTCCTGGCAGGCAGCCTGTTCTACTTTAAGGCGGGGCCGGTGAGTAGAGGAAAAACCAGCCACACGCACTGTGGCTCGCCCCAAGCCAGACTCATGACAGCAGCTGGTTTGGTTTTTTAATCAGAGGTGGGAGGCAGACTGCCCACGGACCCCTGGGTCACACTCATCTGGTGAGCCCCATGTCCCACGTTGGGAGGCACCCTGCTGAGCCTTACAACCATCTGCTGCTGGGTCCGTGGTGCCAGCATGCACACCAGAGCAGCGGCACACCCCAAGGGTGTGGCCAGTACACAGGACAGGACATCAGGTTCCTATCACTGCAGCCAGGGCCCAAGGGTGCCCCTCCAGCTTCCGGGTAGATGCTGGAGCTCTTCATGACAGTCTGTGAGGTCCTCTAAGCGGGTGCTCGCCTCACCTGCACAGGTGCCTGCACGGAATGACCGAGCTCCTCTTTGGGGCTCTGCACACCCTGCTGAGCCACACCAAGCCCTGCGCCAGCCAGGTGCCTCCAGCCTTGCATTTCCACACGGGCACATTCCCACCCTGGGCCTTCGCAGCCAGATTCTGGTCCTCAAGATGCCCCCTGCCCCCTCCCACTACTTCTGAGGGATTGCTTCCCAGAGGGAAAGGGGCGGCCCACCAAGTCCCACACATACCCCCGGTGTCCACCAGCCAGCGGCCGCTGTTGCCCTTGGTGTCCCTGTCTTGCAGGACGGCCACGATGTGTCCCCGGGGCAGTGTCAGGTCCAGCGTCCCAGCTCCGCTGACGCTGCTCGTCACCTGGTACAGCTTCCCGGGGCCGTACTTGCTCAGGAGGGCCTGCACCTGGCGCTCGGCCCCCGGAAGGAGCGGCTGTGGAGGGCAGGGGCAGAGACAGACACAGGGCTCTAGCTAGAGGCCAAAGCCGGCACCGACTTCGGCTCACACACTGAGAAGTCTGACCTCTGGGGTGGACGGGCGGCGTGGCCCTGAGCAAGAGTTTGTCTCCATCAGGGCAACCATTTCCTCCCTGGTTAGTAGAAGGTTGGATCAGATGAGAAAGACAAGGGGCTTCAGGAAGCGTGTGGGGAAATTCCGGGATCTTCTCCTTCTGCGTCCCCACCATCATCCTGAAGCCGCTTTGTCCACACTCTCGGGGTCTGTGATAAGGAGCCCCGGTGGTGTGCAGTTGACGCAGCCTGCTGCGAACGGACAGGTCAGTGCTTTGAACCCACCGGGCTCTACACACACACAGACCTGACAATCCGTTCCTGGAAGGATGACAGCCTAGGCAAGCCTGAGGGGCAGTGCCCCTTAGAGTAGACTGGATGGAACCACCACCACGACAGTATCTGTTATGGATGGCCTGGCAGACTCAGAAGGTGTGGTGGGCCCAAAGGCCCGGTGCCAGAGAAGGTGAGCCTGTTTGGAAACCCAGGGCCCCTGCAGTCATACTCAAGTTTAAGACCAGGTCCCATGGTCTACCATGGGCCCCCCTCGAAAGACCCTAGTCCTTGTAAGAGTGAGGTGGACACAGAGACACAGACCCCCGGGAGGGCAGGCTCTGGAAAAACCGGCACAAGGCTGGACGGTGTGTCTCCAGGAAGCATGTGATGCACACCAGGCCATGGTCAGTGTAAAGGGGCTCCTGTGTAGAACGTGGGCATTCTCATGCCAGCAAGGCCGTGCCACTGTAGGGTTGCCTTAGTCGGCTAGTGCTGCAGTAGCACAAATCCCACGAGTGGAGAGAGCAGCTCGTGGTCCAGAGGACCTCCAGCAGTGGGGACCGCTGTGAGGCCACCCAGCGGTCTGAGGCTTCCACCAGTGCAAGGTAGCTCCTGACCCCGACCACTTCTGAGTGACGCAAAGACACACGCACACACACATGTTCGGGGGGACACATGAGAATCCCCGATAAGCCAAGGAAGAGCAAGGAACCGAGGGTGCCCGGGATGACCCGCAAGACAGGAAGGAATCCATCCTAGACCCTGGTTTGGACCTCCAGTCTCCAGAGCTGCCAGGCAGGCAGTACACCCTGCTCTTTCAGGGCAATCACCCATCGTACATTGATTCACTCACTCACTGCCGTCGTGCAGGACGGGGTAAAACTGCCCCTCTGAGGTTTGGGGACGTCAATCTTTTACAGGAGTAGAGAGCCCCGGCTTTGTCCTGCAGAGGGGCTGGTGATTTCCCATGGAAGACCCTGCAGACGGCAGCCCAATTCGTAACCCCCACGCTGTTAAAGCAGCACCGGGTACCAAGGACTGGCAGCAACACTGAGGGGAGCAGTAGGCATGGTGGCACGCCCTCAGTGCCTCCAGGGCGGCCCTCGAGCTCAGACTTTGAACCTCCAGTCCTGGGAGAAAGCGAGTGCGGCTGCTGGGGGCCGTCTGGTCTGTGGTCATGTGTCTGTCCCGGCAGCTCTGGGGGACACACCATGTGCAGAGGCGTTACGGAGCAGTCTCTCATTTAGCTTCTAAGTGGAAACACCTGCCGCCTGTTGGAAATTCCCCTGGCCTTTCCTTCCCTTTCCCACTCACTGCTCCCAGCAAAAGCAGCAACAAGAAGGGACCTGGAGATGACTGTCCTGATTCTGGGGAAAAACAACAAGAAACTGAAGTGCTAAATATATAAACAATAAACATATGCAAAACACCCAAACCTACGGCTGCTGAGTCACGGCTGACTCCTAGACCCAACTATTATTCACAGGAGCCCTGGTGGCAAAACGGGTAGGCGCTTGGCTGCTGGCCGGACTGTCAGTGGTTTGAACCCACTGGCCACTCTGCAGGAGACAGACGTGGCATCTGCTCCTGTCCAGACTATAGCCCCAGGGGCAGTTCCCCTCTGTCCTGCAGGGCTGCTGTGATACCGAATAGAAGCAGCCACACACAACAGATGTTACACAGTCTAACAACAACAACAACAACATGTTTTCCTTGGTGTCTTGGCTTTTAGGCCTATACCTGGGGTTCTTTGGGGTGCTGACTCAGAAAATTATATTGGCTAAACTGCATCAGCTCTAGTTACTTAGCAATGATGTTCCAGTGTATTTTCAGCAATTAAGCTATACTAATTTATTAAATTATCACCTTAGTTTTAAATAGGAGAATTCAGACCCACAAATTACAGGATAAAACAAAAAAGGTAAGAAACATTTTTAAATGAATTAGGTATTAAGAGACTTCCAACCAAGGGAAGTTGTATATGGACCCATGGTGGCTAGTTGGCTACACATTTGAGCTGCCAATTTTAAGTAGTTCGAACGCACCAGTGGGTGGGTTTTAGAAGATGTAAAGGCTTGGAAACCCAAAGGGACAGTTCTTCTCTGTCCTGAAAAGTCATGATGAGTTAGAAATGAGAAGATGGCAGCAGCTTTCTTGATTTGGTATGGGCGGCTGTGCAATTGTGATAGGTCGGTTTATTGTGCCAACATGGCCACTGAACACATGTGGGGTTATTGACGGGCAGAGAGATAAATGGCTCAGCGGGCCTCGCCTTTCTGTCTCTTGCTCTCTGATGATCGGACCAGTGTGCCTTTGCTTGTTCTGTGCCTCAATTTTCAAGCTACACTACCTGTGGGACACCTAACCTGTGAACAGAGGACTATGTGGCTGTAATTTGAGGTTCCTTCAAGACCTGCTTCGCCACGTTATTAGAACTCACATCTCCTGAGCTGGGGACTGTCAGACCCTGTCATCTGACTGACTTTGGAGCCCTGCCGTGCTGTTTGCTGCCTGTGTCCGGACAGCCTGAATTGCTCTGCAGAGGACTACTCGGCGGGCCTTGAGACTTGAGGACTGCCAGTGTCTCACAGCTGTCTCACGGGAGTGAGTTGCACTGAGCCGTTTGTACTGCTTTATAGAATAATTATGTGATCTATCTATCTATATAAATATACATAAAATTATTAGCATTCAGGTTTTGTTTCTCTAGAGAACCCTGGCTCACACAGCAACATATACAGAGACTACCAATCAGATACTGCAAGACCTAACACTGCCTGGGAAGAGTGGAAAAGAAAAGAGAAAATGGAAAAGGTACATAGACGACGGAAGGGGTGAGGGCAATTTAGAGTGGAAAATGTAACGCTTCATAGTAATTTTCATAAATATTTTGAAGATCCAATTTTTTTTCAGTTTATGCAGTACACATTTCAGAACACATTTAATATCATCCATAGAAGTCAATAGATCATGTTAAATGTTTCAGAGGTGAGGTGACTCCAAGCTTCTTCATAAGAAAAAAAATCTAACTTTTAAGAGTTTTCTGTGTACAGGTGGAGAAGCTATACCATCTTACAACCAGATGGGAGCGTCTTCATGTCAGTAAGAGGTTGGGGCTCTGACGGCCCACTGTGGGCGGCAGAGCATGCTCATCTCTATGTACTGTGTCACACTCGCTCCCGGGCAGTGGACGTGACCCTCACAACCCTCCAGGGCAGAGAGGAACGGCTCCCGTGGGCTTCTGGGTGCTAGCTCGTTGTGGGAGCAGCAAGTCTCCTTCTCTTGCTGAGGGGTTGGCCGGCTGGAATTGCCGACCTTGTGGTTAGCAGCCAAACACATGATCCACTACACCACCAGGGTACAGGATTTATTGTACAGTAACCCTCACGTCTAGTCTCTTTTGCCTGCTATTCAGTTCCTGATACAGGTCAAGTGAAAGTTCCAAGTTCATGTAATGGACACTGCTTGAATATATCTTTGGATCCAGGACACTGTGTGGTGTATAACTTGACTTACATATTTGTACAGCATATATGTGTGTGTGTACATCGGCACACAATGCTACCCTAACAGACGTTGCTCTGTGTGGTTATTTCTGGGTAGGCAGATACTGGGTGTGGGGTGTCCTTCAGGGCCATCTGAGCTGGAGCTCTGACATTCCCCCATCCTGATGTGGACACCACACCCAGATCAAGAAGCAAGAGAGGGTGATGTTTTGGGCCCCTAACAAGAAGTGCAGAGGTGGTGGAGGCGGGCTCCTGCTTGTTTTTCTCAGAAGTGTGCAGTAGGAAAGCCAGCTAAGCAAATTTCTGCCTTCCTCCTCCAGTATGTCAGGCCAGTCCCTGTGCAGAGAGCAGCAGTGCCCCTGGCGGAGCCCCAGAGGAAGGCAAGGCGGGCAAAGACAGCACCAGAGCTGCTCCTGCCCAGCGGTCCGCCTCCCTTCTGCCGGCTTCTGTGTGGTTGGGTGCCGCGGTGAATTCCCATTCCTGGTGAGCCCATTTGGCAGCTGCCCCATGGGGTTTTCTTAGCTTTAATGTTTTGTCTCTCACAGAGCCATAGGTGGGTTTGAGTGTCAACCTTTGGTGAGCAACTGAGCACGTAGCCACAGGGTCACCAGGCTCTGTACTGAGAGCCAGAAGGGTCAGCCAGGCAGAGGCTGGGGGAGGGGGGCGGGCAGCAGTGGGGTATGCATTTCTTCCAACGTACTTTAACCCATCTGTCACACATCCTGGCACCATGGGTGTTGTCATTCGGTGCTTGTTTGTTGCTTTGTTTCTAAGTGGCTATAATAAACACAGCGCTGTTGAAGTTGTCTGGTAGCATTAAGTCCTTTGGTCTGTCTACAGGTTCCACATGGGCATAAGGAGTGTTCTGGAATTCTCATCCTTTGAAATGTTGACCGTAGTTTATTTTGATCCACGATGTCAAATGCCTTGGCGTCGTCAGTAAAACACAAGTATACGCCTTTCTGGTGTCCTCTGCTTTCCGACCAAGACGCCTGGGACGTTCGCAGTGATATCGTGCACTCCGCAGCCTCTGCTGAACCCAGCGCGAGTTTCCGCAGCGCCCTCTCGGTGTACTGCCGCAGCCCTCTTTAAATGATCTTCACGGAAGCTTTCCTTGCATGGGATGTGAAGGCTACTGTGATAATGTCCATATCCTGTCGGACCGCTTTGCTTTGGGGTGGGCATAAACATGGACTTCTTTCTGTCGGCTGGCTTAGTGAAGGGCTTCTTATTGTAATACTTTACTCGGTCCTCTCCAGCTGCCTGCTGAAAATCCCTGTTCTTCATGGAACACATCAAGATGATGTGCATGGATTCCTTTTAAAATCCAGTGAACGTATCTTTGGCTTGTTTTAAGTCGAGGAAGAAGATTTTGTATTTGAGTGCCTATCATGGGCTTCATTTATTTTTTTAAAATCATTTTATTGGGGGCTCGTACAACTCTTATCACCATCCATACCTCCATCCGCTGTGTCAAGCACATTTGCACATCATTCTCAAAGCATTTTCTTTCTCCTTAGCGCTTGGTGTCAGCTCCTCATCTCTGTCCCCTCCTTCATGCTTGATTTTCTGCTCCCTCCTCTTTCCCCCAGCCACAGGACACGTGGCCTTTCTGCTAGGCCCTGACTCCCACTGGAGAGTGGAAGGTGGGGACCACTGTGAACCAAAGCGGGGTTAGCCTTCCCAATTTGGTGAACACTGGCCCCTGGTGGTCTTTGATGGTCTCTATATTCTGCCCAGCTCTACAGGGATTGACTCCCCTTCAACCTTCACTATTCTGAGGAATCTTGGGGGCCATTTCCTGACCCTTCACCTCTTACCTGTGGGCCAGATCCCCCCGGCTCGTCAAATCCAGGCTTTGACATAGTCTGGAAGGTTCTGCTCTCTACAGCTCTTCCTGTTACTTTGAAGACATACCCTTACCAATGGAAACAGGACGCCCAGGCAGGCGTGGGGTGAGAGGTGGTTCATTGCGGGGGCTGCAATGGAGGAGTCGCATCAGGACGTGCATGAATTGCTGGATGTAAAACCACAGTCCGCTCTGTAAACCTTCACCTCGTTCACGATAGAAACTTCAAATAAATACACGCAAAAATAAAATACACAGGACACCTTCGGGCACTCTCCAAGTGAGCTGAAGTTACCTTTTCCTTGTAATTTAGAAAACAAGAATACTTCCTTTTTTTTTTTTTTTAAAGCATTTGACCAGCCAAAACTTTAACAACTATAATACAGTTGAAATACTATCCTTTTCCATTAAAAAAAGCAAACATTAATTATGTATTTTCCACCTTTGTATTTATCTTAACTGCTTCCACTTAAGGCGAGCAGGTCACAGGTGGTGAGGACACAGGACCACTTCTGATGATGAGCTGAGGAAGGGCCACGGCCGTCACTATTGCTGCCGTCGTCCTCAGGGGCCACCAAGTGAGCTGCAGCCCAGCGCCACCCTGCGCACACAGACGGGAACACTGCCCGGCCCCCCGCCGTCCTCACGCGGTGCCTCGGCTGGAACCCACGGTGCAGCCACGGTGTCTGTCCATCTCCTTGAGGGTCTGCCTGTTTTCCCCGCCCTCCACTTAACCAAATGCAAGCTCCAGGGGCTGGTCTCTCCAGACACTATGCCCGAAGTAGGTGAGATTCCAAGTCTTGCCATCCTTGCCTCTAGGGAGCACTGGGCCGCACTTCCTCCGGGCAGATGGGGGTGTCCTTTCAGCGGTCCACGGGGAGGGGAGCGGGCATCACCGGCCCTCTTTTGTCAGTTTACTGACGTGAAATGTTTGCCTTTTCTCATTTTCTCGATTCTGTTCTCCTGCTCTCTGACTATGCAGAGTTTATACACCCCAGGTTTGTATCTTCACCTGCACCCTCCCCCACTCCCAGCTCACGGTGAGATATGAAAGGGAGAGAAAAATTGTAGGGTCTCATGGACTGACTTGTATCCCTCAAAAAAATATGTTGCTGGAACCCTAGGCCCTGTACGTGGCGTGTGTGTGTGTGTGTGTGTGTGTGTGTGTGTGTGTGTGTAAAATCGCATGAGGATAAGGGCTCTCTTTGTTACGTAAATTGTAACGGGTCATTGTAGGTTGTGTCTCAAACCCTCACTTTGAGATGTTCAGAGGAGACTCTCTGGAGAGCAACCTTCCCTTCGAGCTGGTGTCTCGAATTCAGACGTCTAGCCTCCTCAACTGGGAGCGGATACACTTCTGTTCCTTCAAGGCTCCCACTTGGGGTATTTCTGTCACACCATGGTAGGAGGAGCAAGACACATGGCTCATGGGGAACTTTGGGGGAAGATAGGGGCACCGAGCTCACTCAGCAGGGCGTGAGCGGGTTTCAGGGGGGCAGACACTCACTTGAAGGGTGGGAGGTGGCAGCACTTTCTCGAAGTTCTCGCGGAAGGCGTGCAGTTGGCGACTGGTCTGGCCCAGCACATCTTCCACAAGCTTCCTGAAGGCGGCCTCAGAGATGTGGTGGTGGGGCAGCTGGGTGGGAGACAGACACGTCAGCAGAGGGCAGAGACGCATGCGGGAAGCACAGGCATGAGCCCACGTCTGCTGTCAGGCTCACCGGTTACCTTCGGCTGCCTCCTGCCCTACTTTCCCGGATTCGAGCTGATACCTGCACACGGCTATGCACGACAGCCACAAAGTGAAGACACTTCAGCGCCCAGACTGAGGGGATAAATCGGTGGGGGATTCTTGACATACAATGGAAGAGTCCTGGGCCATAAGGAGAAACAAAGTCCCGGTACAAGGGATGGACCTTGGAAACATGCTGAGTGTGAGAAACCAGACAGAAGGGGACACACGCTGAGGGTGTGGGGTGTCTGGAACAGGCGACGGTACTGGGATCCATGGGTGTCAGTGGTTCGTTCCCAAGGGTAGGAGGGTGGGATGAAGGGGTGGGGGCCGGGGGGTCATTCAGGAAGCAGTGGATATCTACTAACGGGATAATGTTGCCCCTCGTGATTAACGTAATGAGTGTAACTGAATTATACCTGTAAAAATGATGGATGGGCAGATTTTAAGTTGTATAAATATCATAACACAATTTTTTTATAAAGGAAGTGTCCTTTATGGGGGTCCCCTCTGGGGGTGCCTTCAAGTGCTCTATCAACAGGACTGGCCGACGTAGCTGCTGTCCTCCTGTCCATAGTGATGGGACAGACAGTGGCCCTGTCGGAGTCCATGAAAGAAGAGACAGTGCAGAGCCAGGTGAACCTAGGAGGCAGATGGGGGCTCCCCAGGGCGTGGCCCCTGTGGGCCACTTGGCTGCCATGGCAGTGCCAGAGAAGGGACCAGAGAAAGATCTGGAAGCAGCTGGGTGTCTTTGCGAGCTCAACATCCATTGTCCAGATTCTAAAATCAAAGTATGGGCTTGGGGGTCACTCTGCAGAAGACACGACCTTGTAGCATTGCTGATGAGGATGAAAACCTACAGCCGTCCATTTGAATGGCACCTGAGCCTAACTGGGAAAACCCCACACTCAAACCCCCAAAGCCTTATAGCAGCACGATACGTGCAGCATCCCCTTCACGGGAGAAAGACAGGGCTTTGCACTTCCATAACGATTTACCGTCTCAGACACCCCCAAGGGCAGTGCTACCCTGTCCTGTAGGGTCGCTGTGAGTCGGCATCGACTCCAGGGCCGTGAGGGTTTGGTTTGGGTTTTGAGTATGCTTTCCGTGGACAGTTCCCCTAAGGCTGAGAGCCACAAGCAGTGAGCTCGGTGGCTCAGAGTCCACACACTGGGGGTGAACTGCCAGGGCTCGAATCTTACCATCGGCTGTGGGACCCTGGCATGCTCCTGAGCCTCCCTGTGCCTCGGCTCCCCCCTTGTTGAAATGAGAATGGTAATAACAATGCCGACTTGGCAGGACTGTGGTGAGGATTCGCTGAGACCATGCACAGGAGGGGCTCTGAACAGGGGTGCAGAAGGCCTCAAGGAGAGGGGTGCTCGAAGCAGAACTGGCAGTCACAATGCTAGGCTGCGGCACGTACTCCCAACTGTACACAAGGGGGCTTCTCCCTCTGTTACCACTCCAGGGATCAGCCCTGGCTCTGCCACCACCCTACTCCATCCACGCCTGAGTGCCCGGGCCTGGCAGCAGTGGGACCCCCAGTGCTCTGCCTCATGGCCTGATCCCATTTGTGAAGGGAAGACAGACAGGAGGGGGGTCTATCGGGACCCCTGATCAGTGTCGGATGAGGCTACAAGGCCCTGACTGACCATCAGCGTGAGCCACCCGGTCCTGGAAGCCTTACTGACCTGTGCGGAGCTGCTCTCTGCTCTCTGGAGCACCTGCTGTGCAAGGTCCTGCTGCAGAGTCACGAAGGTGCGCAGGATCTGGCTCAGCCACTGCATGGCCAGCTGGTTAAACCGCGGGAGCTCGGCCAGCAGCATGGAGTGCAGAGCCTGGTACGTGTGCCGGGCTGCCTCCTCCTCATAGGTCACGCTGCCCGCCTCCAACAGTTTCTCCTCCACGCGCTCAAAGTCCAACAGTTTGTCCAGGTGCTTCTTGATCAGGTTCTGAGGGCCGGAGAGGGCTTTGGCCAGGCTGCACAGTGGCCGCCATACCAGGCCTTCCAGCCGCTGCTTCTGCGGGGAGAGGGGAGCTTGGGAGCCTTGCCAGGAGGTGACAGAGCACGGGCACTGGGCGAAAAGCCTATAGAAGCACCTAGGTCCCCATGTGACCTTTAGCATGTGATTTAACCTCTCTAGGCCACAATGTCCCCATCTGGAAAACGGGGACAATGCATACAGTTAGCTTTGCAGAGTGTCAGCTCTTCGGAGCCTTACTGTGCAAAGAGTAGAGCATGACCGACAAGAACATAGACGTTGGGGATCCCATCCCAGCAGGGCATTCACCATCTGGCTGATCTGGGGGTGTCACCGTCTCAGAGCCTCAGCCGAGGACTGGGGCTATTCAGAGTTCCTACTCCATAAGCCCTGTTGTTCAATGAGTTAAGAAGCCCTGGTGTGCAGTAGTTATGCTTTGGGTGGCTAACCACCAGGTCAGCAGTTCGAACCACCAGCCACTTCCTGGGGAGAAAGACTTGGCTTTCTACTCCCCTAGAGAGCTGCAGTCTCTGAAACCCACAGAGGCAGTTCTGCTCTGTGCTGTGGGCTTGCTATGAGTCAGGATCGGCTCGATGGCAGTGAGTTTGGTTTTCAAAGACTATAAAAGGCTCTGCACAACCTCGGACGGACATTGAGACCCTGTGCAGGTGAAACCAGCTGCCGTCCAGCTGAGTCGGACTCATGGCGACCCACGTGTCTCAAAGAACTGTGCACGGAGGGTTTCCCAGGCTGGGAGTTACATAGAGACCACCAGGCTTTTCTTCTCCGACACATCTGGGTGGACTCGAACCACCAATCTTTGGGTTAGCAGCCAAACTCATGAGCTGTCTATACCACCAGGCCCTCCCAACAGGTGTGAGGCGGGATCACTTTGATCCAACGGCTCAAGGTGGTTATGCATGTCCCGGTCATGCAAGAAGCATGCCTTCTTCATACGATTCCTGTCGACCCTGCCAGCGCCTCCCCAAGACAGGGGAATGGACGTTCCACTTACAAACTCCAGGAAGGCCCCGAGCTGCAGCTCCGTCGCCAAGCGGCAGTACTGCGCCACAGGCCCCTCGGAGATGTCCAGGTGATGCTCGTGCGGCCTAAAGCGGAGGAAGGCCTGTCCCGGGCAAACGAGAGGCATCTGACCACAGGGCGTCATTTCTGGGCATCCAGAGGCCACCCGTCCCTGCACACCTTGCAGACGATTCCATCCGCGCACGGTGTGGATGACTGCAAACCCTCCCCAAGACTGGGCCGCACGTCTCCCACCTCCTCCAGTGTACCCCACACCTCAGGCATTTGCCTGCCCACCGGCTTTCCCGGGCTGCGATCTCGACGGAGCAATGGCCAGGTGTTTGGGCCTGTGGAGTTCGGGGTGGGTTCAAACCACTGACCGACCGTCCTCCCCCTCTGCCTCCCCCTCACCACGGGCGTGCTTCAGCCGAAACAAAGGGCTGACGTTCTTCAGACCCGCTGTGAGGCATCAATCTTAAAAGCAGGGTGCTAAATGGAAGAAGCCAAACATGAGAGGCCACATAGTACTTAATCCCACGTACGTGAAGCAGCCAGACTTGGCATATGCATGCAGGCGGAAGTGACCCCGGACTGCAGCAGGGAAGGGAATGGAGTTTGGCAGCTTAACAGGTAGTTGAGTTTCTTAATGGGCAGCTAGGAGATCCTGGTGGCGTCATGGTTACGCACTGTGTGGCTTACCTCCAGGTCAGCCGTTTGAAACCACCAGTCTCTCGTCGGGAGAAAGAGGATGCTGTCTCCACCCCTACCTCACAGGGGCAACTCTGCCCTGCCCTGGAGGGCACTGGCCCTGCGATGGCTGTGAGCTTGGTGTTTGGTTTCAGGTGTGGAGGATGAAAACGTTTGGGAAACAAACAGAGGTGCAGCTGCACACGGTGATGCCTATCAAGGGTGCCACACTCGGGCATGGTTAAAGGGTTAACATTTCTATGTTGTAGACGTTTTACCACCAGAAAGGGAACTCGGAATGGAAGGCTCTAATGGAGGGGAAGGGGACACCTTGCTGATGGCGCCACAAAGGGAAAGCCAGTGATAAAGACCAGAAATAGTTGCCATGAAAAGGAAACAATGTTACCAGAGCCTGCAGGCTAGCTTGCCCGCTGGAGACTCCACGGTCAGCCAGAGCTGCAGACGAGGCAGGAGGAGGTTTAGATGAGGGAGCCGCTTTCTCATGACCCGCTGCCACACTGTCTAACAACGCAACTCTGAACCCCAGATATCCTAGTGCTCCCCGAGATCCGTCTCCCCTGCAGAGCCAGACTTGACCCTCCGTGCCCAGTACCAGCAGGCTCTGCTCTGGCTCTGAGCGCCAGAGCAGGGTCCCAGCTGTGCAAATTCTTCTTCTTTGGGGGGTCCTGTGACCAAGCAGGGGGGCCTGACACTCATGGAGGTGGGTGGGCCGGTGAGCTCCCTCTGACACATTTCCCCCTCCAAGGTGCCCATCCCCAAAGATTCCACTGTCTTTGAGCTGGTCTGTGCCGATGAACGCAGCGGAGACCAAAGCCAACGATGACAGGAATGAGGGGACGTGACACAGGCAAAGTGGCATGCTGGTGGCCCTGTGGACTGACCTGTTTGGAAACTGTTTTCTAGGGGCCTGCTTAACATTTAATTTTTACTTTAATTTACGGTTCACATTTTTAAATCAGGAGGTTTCACCTAAGTCTGAATGTCCAGGGTGTATTTCCCCCGCCCCCCGCCTTAAAATCAGCCAGGCAGCCACGTCAGGCCCAGCTTCCCACAGCAACATTCCACCAGAGCCGAGTAGTCTTCACTCGCTCATTCACTTGTTCAAATGGCAACCTTACTGTCAAACACCTGTACACCTGATTCTCTCCCAGGAGCAGCCTGGCCCCCGAAGCCCCCAGGTTGGTGTCTCTGCTCCGGGTCTGGCAAGGTCTTGCACAGCAGCTCTGACTGGTGAGCTTTGACACTGCCCAGATAAAGCCTTGCCCGTGAGCTCAGGGAGCAGGCGACGTCATCAATTTAGTTCCTAGAGCTCATGGACTTCCAAACTTATTTGGCTTCCTGCCTCCCTTTCATAAAAAAACAATCCCTCAGGGCTTCCCTAGCAATTAAAAATACGTATATGATTGCCCCCTTAATCCCAGATAAGGTGTAGGTATCTGCTTTGGCAGCCCACCTGGATGATTCCAGCACCGCGCCCCCAGAGGGCAGCATCACCCACTTGGGAACCACTGCTCTAGCTGGTGCCTTGGCTAGTTTATCCCATGGGCCCCACATGACTCCTCTGGGAGCCAGGCCCCGCCCCCGCCCATCATTAGCTCTGCAGATGCTCACCTCCAGATTATCCAGATAGGCAGCCAGGTTGCTCCGGAGCTCAGTCACGCACAGCGACACCCAGTGGAATCTCTCCTCCAAGTCGTCAAATTCCTTGTCTTCCAGCTGAAAGTGGTCAGTTGCACAGGTGAGGGCAAAGAAGGTCCACAAGGGGGCAGTGTAAGCCTACCATCCACATTCCCAGTCCTCGGAACCACTTACCGGAGCCCCTCCCTGAGCCTCCCAGCCCAGTGGGATGGTTAAGAGGCAGGATAGTTTAGTGGTTTTGCATTCAGACACCCAAGGTTCATTCATTCCATAGTTCTACGTCTGTGTTCTCATCTGCAAAATGGGGTTAATAAGAAGGCCTACTTCCCACTGAAGCTCACCAATCACGCCTGGCTCAGAGTAAGCACTCCATCAACTTGAGATGCTACTGTAGCACCCGGAGGACCATTGCTTGCCCAGACCCAAAGACTGGCCCTCCTGCTCTGTGAAGGGGCCCC